CGTGTGAGACCATGTGGAAAAGGAGATCTCTCACTGTAAGCGCACACGAGCTGTGGCAACTGAAGCAGCCCCAATAGAAGCCGTGCAAGTCAGTCCACGCAAGGTTCTAGTCCACAGTGTTCTCTGTTGCTGACATATACCTTGAAGGAAGAAAAATGCAAAACATTGGTATTTGCAGTCTTGGCCTCTGGCCCTTCCACAGACGTCTGTTGCGCAGACAGGTTGAGATGGCATTCCTTGGAAAGGGGGGGCACTGCTTTGTGTGCCCCTCCTGTTATGCAACATTACACTGCTGCCTTTGCATAAGCAGCACTGGAGGTGGGTCCCAGCTTGCTTCTGGCCTTTCCTAATACCCTGCATGGTTTGCAGTTTTGGCTTCTGAATCACACCCTTGCTTTCTGCAGAAAATACCCTTCCGCCGCTCCTACATTAAGCTCGGGAGGAAAACGGCTCTGTGACTAAGCCAGGAGGGAACTGGGATCTCCACAAAGCAGAACTGTTGGTGGCGGCGTGACTTCATGCGTGGCTTGCGCGTCCAGCTCCGAGCCACCCCTCGTGTCTACACACCCGCTCCCTGACCCTCCTGGTGCCGTGCTGATGAAGTCGGCGTGGCCCTCGCCAGGCCAATGGGCTGGGTCTCCTAATTTCGGACACGCTCGTCAACACGGTCATGAAATCGGCTTGGGGCTCTTTGATGCTTCGAGCAGGGATGGGGGAGCTTTGGGCTTGTGGGATCTGCTCGCACTTTGGGAAAGTGGAACCCAGAAGTCCATCCGGTAGGGAGAATTAGTGGCACAGGAGTGGGCAGAAAGGAAGGGCTTTGAACAAGGATGCGATGGTGCCAGCAGCGGCTGCTTGGCTTCAGAAACGTCGGAGGGGGATGCAGAAAGGGAAGCGCTAGAGTGATGGAATGCCGTCATTCAGGGTTTATCCATTGAGCTCAACAGAGCCACCGTCCTTAGAAGCGCCATCCTTTGTGCATCAAAGCTGGGGACAACTGAAGCGGCGGGGGTGCTCTTTTTACAGGGTCCTGTTTGTGGTGGCCCTCTAGGCTGTTCGCTGTGAGTTACTTCTGGATCTTTCACGGACGTCCGTGTCTCTCGCCAGGCAAGGCTCGTTTTGAGATGCTTCCCCTCAGTGGGAATGGGACTTTGGCTGGGATCCAGGAGCACTGCTCTTGCGTTCTCTTGGAGAATTAAAGCAGCCTTTGGGTGATCCCAGAAGGGGTGGGGGAAGCATCCTGTTGCAGCCCTCCTCACCTGCCGCTTTCCACTTCAGTTCCCATTAGCCCCAGTCAACTGTGACCGGGCCGTGAAGGGAGGCCAGGATGGAGAAGGCTGCTTTAGGATCCTCCTGGCCTTGTAGCTATTGGGATTTCTCTCTTGCAGCAAGTAAAACGTTGGCTCTACCTGGCTTGCCCCAGTTTCTTCCAGCCATTTTGTGTGCCTGGGTTTGTTCTTTCCCTGCATGTCACAAGCCGCCTGGAATTCTTGTCCTGCAAATAAACCACATGTTTTCCCTGAGCTTGAAATGGCTTGGAGGAAGCTTGGAGTCGGGGGCCCTGAGCTGTGTGTTACGACACAAGCTGATAAGTTCCCTCAGCAAGGCTTCGTAGAATCTGGCTGGTTTTCCATTTGGGAACAACTGAGAAGAACCCACGATGACCAGTGGTGGAGAATGAGGTGGCACTGTTCTTCCTGGACTGCAGTTTTCCATTTGCAGGCATGGCACAGAGACTTGCCTGGCCTCCCCCAACCTGGTGGTGTATTCCCATCCTTCCAAGAGAGCGACCATGCTGGCTGGGAATATTGGCATCCTGCCTGGTCTTGGAAGCTAAGCAGGGTCAGGCCTGGTTAGTACTGGGCTGGGAGACCGGACCTTAGCTCTAAGGGCTTTTGAGGCCCCTTCCAAATGTGTGATTTTATGGTATCTCCAGAGCTCCCGCTTTGTCGTGTGTGTGCATCCAACATCAGAAGTGCTCGTGGGAGGCTTCCCGTGCTGGTTCTACGGATGATTCTGATTCCAGTTTCAAGGACGAGACTGTCTTTGAAACAGCTCAGACTCTACCTGTGGTTCAAGGTCCTGGAATTCAGCAGGAGGTCGCAGTGGAGGAGAAGCCATGTGAGGAGAGCAGGCCAGCTGTCCTTGGGAACGTGGAGGAATTAACGCTGGGAGGAGGAGACACCAAAATGGGAAGTCCTTCCAGTGGGGAGCCAGCCCCCACCCCTCGCAGGAGGCAGACCCGGTTGCTTTCACCCTGCTTAGGAGGAGTGGGCGCCTGCCTGTGTCCACCGTGGGCCACCTCCAGGGTCGAGTCACGGACGGGCTCTAAGGAAAGTTTCAGGAAACGAACCGAAGAAAGGCTTCAAGATTTCACTCTGTGCATGCTCCAGTAGGCATGTAAAGAGCATTACGCAAAGAAACACGGGGGGGGGGGGCGATAAGGCTTGGAGGAGAAGCTCGGATCATGGCAAGGAGGGGGAAGCCCGGACTGGCCGGTCGCTCTAGGACTGGGGTGACTCAAGTTCACGTGATCTGTATTGACGGTGAAGTCGGTGGGTGAGAAGGACAAGAGCGGGCTGTCTCCTTCACGCCGGCGCAGGAGCTCCCTAGACGCATCTAGCTGCCCTCCGTTGTGGGGCCGGCATGCCAGTAGCTTGCATGCGGACTGTCGGGGGCCGTGTGCCCATGTGCACAGACCCAAAAGGCGCAGCATTGGCCACCGCCGGCCAGTAGCTTCCACACTCAGGCCTGGCCTAAATAAGAGAAGACCAACCCTGGCCTTGGTCGGCTAGCAAGCGCTTTTTCTCCTGCGTAAGATTTATCTACACTCTTACACAGTGTGTGACACTTCAAAGGAGGTTGTCTTGCAGTGTTTGTGTGAATGTAGCGCTGCCTTCCTGCCAAAAGGGTGCTAACAAGAATGCAACAAAATGTAACAGGAAAAACTTTCCCTCTTCTCCAAAGAGAACGGAAAAAGCAAGGCAGATGAACCAGCAAGGGAAGCAGTGTTACAAGCGATGACATCTGTGTCGTACGGCAGTGGAAGCGGTTGCTTGGAGAGACTGTGGGCTCTCCCACACTGGAGACGTTCAAGAAGAAGCTGGACAGTCCTCTGAGTGAGTTGGTGTAAATTTGGGGCCTTTAACAGCAGGAGGTTGGCCCTGATGACCTCCTTGGCCCCTTCCAACCCCCATCCTATGATTCTGAGATGACGACTGTGTGGCATAGATCCGAATTTTGCAAACGGAGGTGGGGGAAGGAGCTAAGGCTGGGGAAAAGGGTGGCTCTTGTACCGTCTGGGAGTGCTGCAGCTGTGCGAATGGGGGTGATGGGAATTGTAGTCTGTTGCGTTTGGGTGGCACCACGTTGGGGAAGCTGAAGCTCTTCTGAGCCTAGGGTGAGCATCCACAGAGGCGAACTCCTCGCCTGTGTGCCAGTGACCTGTTACACCTGAGCATGCCTTGGGAATGGCTTGTCCCACTTTCATGGGGTGTGATGGCTCTCGGACGGTGCTCGCTGTGAACTCCTGTGCCAGAATCGGTGCACGGGACTTGTCCTGTTTTGATGTAAAGGTGGGCCTTGGCCAACGGCTTCTGCAGAAATCCAGGGGGCTGAGCTCCTCCGGGGTAGGGTAGTTAGGCTGGGTACCTGCTGAAGACTCACTGCAGGGGCTGGTCCAGGCCTACCTTGGCATCTCCTCCTTCAAGGACTTGGCAGTTTTCACATCCCTGGGAGAGCGAAGGGACACAGTGCTGTAAGGCTGGGGACAGCTGATTTCTGATTTTGGCACTTGAGCCTTCCAGTAATGCAACTTCCTGCCTTCATCACGGCGTGTTTTGAGTCCAAAAATGCTAAACAAGTCGATTTGCCCAGCGTTAATGATCCCTCTGTGTTTTTGCTTTCTCTTTCAAACTGTTGATTTCTAGGGAACCCACCCAAAGTCACAAGGAAAACTGTGATTTGTTGACCTCGTTGTCTAAGATCCAAGTGCGAAGCAAAAGATCTTCCCAACTTGGCACCCTCCAGTTGCGTGAAGCTGCAGTTCCCATCATCCTCAGCCACTAGGGCTGCATGCATTCAGCTTTCTAAGGCTCAGGATGGTTTCCTTCCCAAACAAAGCTTATTTTCTCTCCCTCCCGCCCTTCGTTATATATCACAGTTGCGGTCTGTCTTTTCCCCAAGCTGCTGCGGTTGGGCTGTGGGAACAGTGAATGGGCTCAGGACACAAACCAGGGTAAACTTGCCGACATCAAGCTCACGTCCCTGTCATTTATTCATTTACCGTTCATAATGGCCGAGGGCAATGACAGGACAGCCCTACTCTTACCCCTACTGCTGCATGGTGACAATTGTAGGGACTTGCACACATCTTGAATCCCCCCGTCCGTCCTTTGCAGAGTTCCCTGCGCATTTTGTTCTGCTGTCTACTCATTGATACAATCCGATTTTGCGTGATTGTGTGCATACTTATTTGCACACCACTGCTCTTGCACAATTGTGCACTTCCAACAATGCGTGCCCCCCCAGTTTGTCAGTTCGCATGCTTTAGAGTATGTATACTTTTTCTTGTTTTTTTACTTTTATTTCTGCTGTGTGTGTTTTCTGCAACTACACTGGCATGCAGTGATTAGAAGTTAACACATGATCCGTGGAGTCTGCCTGACTTGGGAAAAACTGATTGACGGCAGTATCTGTGGGTCAAATTCATAGAAATTTGAACTCTTTCGAACATGTTGTGGGTTTCCCAGACATCGCTTGAGCATTAAGCAAGTGTGGCGGGGAAAAAATCACTCAAAACAACTATGGGTTTGCAGTGGCATGCATGAAACTTGGTGCTCTTAATAAGAGGAATGCTTGAAAGAGGAATTAATTGGACATTGATCGCAATGCATCTTTTTCATTTGGTGTCAGTGCTGACGTGGAGCAATTGCTTTCCCCCTGCCTGCTTTGAAGGGATGGCCTGCCTTTATGCACATATATATTTCCTTGTGTTGCAGAGAAGACCGGAAAGGTCCTCACGGAGTTCTGCCAGTTCTACGAACAGCAGTACGGGGTCGCTCTCTTCAACAGCGTCCGGTATGAGATCGAAGGGGGCGGGGGGCCCCAGCCTCAGCTGCTGCGTCGCAAGGTAAGTGGGCCAGTCGATGTTGACTCTTGGCAAGGGGGTGCCTCTGGAGGGCGGATGGCAGCCATGGGCTGGGCTGTTGGTCCCACGTTCCAACTCTGCCTTGTGGAGACTCTCCGTGTGCGCGTCTCAGGTGGTGTGTCAGGGCGGAGGGAGGGTTGCGATGGCATGCCCCCTGGCTCTTTATGGTGTGCTGAGCCCTTTCCAAAAGAACATTGTGGAAAATGTGTCCTGTTTGTGTTGAAGGCCACTGTGGCTGGGGTGCGGTGAGAACATTTGTGCTTGAAATCCACAGAATTCGTTGAGGTGCTGTCATCTCGGCTCCTTGGCTAGTATTCTTCAGGTGTGCGTATGTGTTGGGGTATGTGTGATGGGGGGGGGGCAGCAAAATGGCCTAAGGCCAGGTGGACTCCCAGTTCCTCCAGCCCACCACCATCTTCTCTGCTGATCTTAGGCGGACACGTCTCTTTCCTGTCGCTTGCTTACCTGATCTTCAAAAGGTCGATTCCGGCTGCAGCTTTCTGCGTTCAAAGCTGGTTCCCTTCCAATGTCTTTCAGTCTCTTTGCTTTCAGTGCTTTATCAACTCAAGAAGCGGATTTGCTTCGAGTCTGCTTCTGTTGCAGGGAAAATGAAAGTAGAATGCAAGTCTGGATCGAACCAGAGGAGATGGCAACTCCAGGAATTCTGGAGGGAATGGGAGAAAGAATTACTGATTGTGAAGGCAGAAACTGGAGGGATTTGGGGTTTGGAGCAACTTCTTGGGATAACCTTTTTCAATCTGCTCAGCTAAATGCTGTGGATAAAAATGAGCGTGTTCCCTCTCCACTTAGGAACAAAAGCCAGGGCTCATGTATCTTTGGGTTAGCAGATTTATTTAGGATGGTGATAGGACATCCCAGCTGTCGTGGAATGGAAGGCAGTGTGCAGTTCCCAGCTGGCTCCCCATCCAGGAATTGGTCAGATGGAGAGCTGGTTGGCGCACTGCGTGGCCTAGGCCCCTTCCATGGTGCCGCATGGAGAAGACCCACCATCAGAGGAACGCTGTGGAGCCAATGTCAGGGTCGCAAAGGAGCCGGCCTTTGGTGGGCTGGTCTTCCCTTAGCACGTTCTGTCTTCCTTTGTTTCCGCTGCGGGTTGGTGGAGGCCGGTCCATTTGTTTGAAGAATCACAAAGCTAATTTGATCCAGTGCTTTCCAACTGTGTGCCCTTGAAGTGTGCCAGCCTCCATCTCCTATCATCCCCATCATCTCCCACTGTCCCGTGGAACCCTTTTCCCAGCACCTAGCTGGGAAAGCCTGGGCTAGACAAGCCCCCTTGGCCACGATGCTGGGAATGATGGGAGCCGTAGTCATGCACCTTGGAGCAATCGTAATCTTTCTCAGCCTGCTCTGCTTACCAGCTGATTGTGTAAGGATAAAACTTCAGACCGGTCAAGGAGGAATGGTCCCTATTCCTCCTTGACCTGAATGCTCTGAATTTCTCCAAGGAAAGGGAGTGTAACGTCGTAATCGGGAAACATGCCTGCATTCAGGAGTTCGACTTGCATGTTTATACATTGGCCTTCGGACCGCTGAGCGCTGAACTGCCTTGCTTTTGAAGAACTAGGTACAAGCTGGTGTGAAAACACATTGATCCAGGATGGCTAATAGCTCCATAGAAGCCGTTCGCAAGGCGGACTGCAGTTTTCCACCCTCTGCTGAACTCCTCCAGAAAGACCTACCCTGATGGCTTCCAGATGCCCCATGATCAATCCGGGATCCTTCCTGCAGCCACTGGAACTCGAGAGGGGACCATCCTGCCCCCCAGCACAGCGCTCCTCCTGATGGCCTGCTCCTGAGGTCACTTCCTTTCTTTCCCCTGTTCTTCTGCCGCAACCTGGCAAGCAGCCTAGGTGCTTAATGAGGCATTATATGCAGCGAGTGTCCTTGCGTTTAATTTTACACGCAGGCCTCTCCAAATAGCACTCAGGGAGGAAGAGAGGTGGAAAAACTGAACAAACCTGGGCTTTGTTTTGGCACGCTTTGTGAAAGTGGAGGTGAAGCCCAGGCACGTTGTGGTGGGGGAGACGGAGTCACCTGATGTGACTTCAGCCTGTCCCTGGGAAGTGTGTCTCCCTGCGTTTGGGGTGGTGAAAAGGAACTCATTTGTCCACCGTCCCTGAGTGCTCCAGGCACAATTTGAGGGAAGTGTTTGGAACGGGTCCCAGTTTGCTTTTCTTTTGCAAGAAGGAAGAGATTCTGTGCCTCAGATAAGTGCTGGAGGTGTTGTCTTATCCCTGGGTGGAGAAGGCTCTTCTGGAGGTACAGGGCAAGCCTGCAGGAGCTCTGAGGGGGAAGAACTCTTTAGATTTAGGGCCAAAAAAGGAGGGAATTCAGTAGGAGGAAGGGAAGAGGGTCTCAGTCTCTCTCTCTCTCTCTC